TTTTTTTGGATTTTTTTTTTCATTCCGGGCCCAATTTTTTTTTTTTGGTTTTTTTTTCGACAGTTTTTTTGGTGTTGGGCACGTGCCCCGTTTTTTTGGGTTGGCCCTTTTTTTTCTTGGGGGGGCGAAAGTTGCCCGGCGTGGTCCATTCCTTTCCAATCCCGTTTTTGGGGGGTTATTGGCCTTACTTGGTTGGTTTTTGGGGGGGGGCGGCTTGGGCTTTGGCTTCCGGGGGGGGGGAGCCAGCCAGCCAGACAGACAGCCAGACACCCGGCCAGCCAGACCCCCCCCCCCCCCCCCAGGGGCCGGGGGGGGGGGGGGGGGGCACGCGAGGGAGAGAACAGAGGTGCACCATTCCGACTTCACTTAATTTTTTTTTTCACCCAGATTTTTCCAATTTGCGTTTTTAACCACCTCTCACTCTCTCATGCTATACCTCTGTGTACGACGCTATATTTCTTGAGCGATGGAAAGACAGACAACGAACGCGGTTGCTGTATGTTGGCAGTGCATGCTGACGTGATGGCGAAGTCACTTGTGGCAAGATTCCCCACCCCGCCCCCCTTCGCGTGTTGACCCCTACAAGTACCGAAAGATCGTTTTGTGTTTCCCAAGCAATTGTTGCTCGCAAGGTTGCTTCAAGACGAGCCATGCAGTCGTTGGAGGCTGTTATGTTCGCTGCAGCTTTCTAGAGTACATATATCCAACTATTGCTGTGTCGTGAATGTGTGTAGAGGTAGAAAGAAGCAAACACACCGCCCTGTGATGTCTGTGAAGCCGGGAGCGTAGTTTTCGCGCCCCGTTTTTCCCTCCAATATGACCATCATCATCCGTGGGAAAAAAATTGCTGTGTGTGCTCCAACAACAACAGCTGGAGATCAACGGCATTGGAGACTTTGGCGTCCTGGCCAGCCGAGAGGCGCTCCTGCTAGTGCTGCCCGCGGTTCTGGGCGGCTTGGTGATGTACCTCTCCCTCCGGCGATTTTCCTCTCCGACCACGCTGCCGCTGCTCATGACCGCGTTCCTGGGAACGTTCTTCGCGTTCCTTCGGGTCACGGGAACGACTCTCGAGGTGAGTTTGTTTGTTATGATCGGCAACTGTTGTTTTTTTTTGCTTTCGTTGACGTTGTTCCAGCATAATGGCGATTAAGCACGCACATTTTTTTTTCGTATCTATCGGGTCCAGCTTTTTTTTTTTTCCGCGCTACACCATCGAACTTCTGTGTGTGTGCGCGTGAGCACGCGCCTCGACCTCCTCTACACATCGCTGACATTCCGCACAATCTCTGCTGCTGCTGCTGCTGCTGCTGCTGCTACTGCTGTGCGTTCGACTGAGCGCTGCCTGCTGGCCTCTTCTTCACGTACCGTGATTAGACCTGCAGAGTGATTGGCCCAAACTCACAACTGTAGATGAACAATCCCCCGCCCCCCTACCGGTACACCGCTGCGTTTCATTCCTGTTTTTTCACGAAAATATGTTGTTGCTGCAGGAGGCGAGAGCTGCCGGGTGGGTGAGCCCAGCGTCCCCGATGCTCCCCCTCAATCACGCCTGGGACTACTTTTCCTTCGCCGACATCCATTGGGGAGCGTTCGTGAGGGTGAGTCCCGTTTGGGTTTGGATCTTGATTTCTTCCTGGATATACCGACGGTGTTTGGCTTTGTCATGCCTTGGTTTAGCGTGACAATTGGCCGTTTACTTTTTGTGCCCGTTTTCCGTACAAAACACTAACGTATGTGTAATATAGAGCCAGCTCGGGTGGGACAAAAGCTTGTCGGCGAAAATTGCTTGTGGTGCGAAAGAGCCCTCTACAAGTGGTACCGGTTGCTCGGTGGTTTTTCTAAAACATTCCCTTTGAATTGAATTTGAATCCGAAGCAACGCCACTAGCAGAGGCGAGAGCGCACGCTCCAACGACGCCACATTCGGGTGCATGCGATCAGACGTGGCTGACAGAAGTGTGCCCGTGCGAACTGTAGACGACGGTTGCTGCCATGAGTACAGAGCCCCCCAAGAGGACGGCTGTTTTTGGTTGAGATTACGCTCCCGAAACAGGGAAAACTTGGTCGACACGTTCATGCATACATGGACGTTACCCCCCGCGCGCGGGCATCCCCCCTCTCTCCCAGATTGTGCCCAAGCTATTGGCCATGATCGTGGTCGTTGCGTTCTCCAGCTGCTTGGATGTCGCCGCCATAGAGATAGAGATGGCCAAGCCGCTGGATTTCAACGGGGAGCTGCAGACGGTGAGTTGCCAACAAGAGAGAGAGAGAGAGAGTCAACGCATGTTGGCCTGCTGGGCGCGTTGTGTTGGGGGCCGCTGATTCGACGTAGCCCCCCTGGTTCGTAGTTCTTCTGAGGGTTCTTGCGTGGGTGTGCCTACGCTCTCCGTGAGCGTTCCTGTAGTTCTTGTGTTTGGTGCGATGCTCGTCCTAGTAGGTTTTCGTCTGCGTTTGATCGTGTTTTCCGGCCTTCTTCTTGTTCTGAGATCGGTGAGCTGCGGTCTCTCAGGGTATTTCTTTTCGTGTTGTGTTCGACATATGCCGGGCGCCCGAGTACGCCACCGCTATTTCGGGCCTTGGTGGGGATGTGTTTCTTTCACAGCTCCTGACCGCGATTCTAACCGGTGGACAATACTATGCATAGGTGCGATCAGTATCCCCCTCGTGCAAGGTGCGGTGCGTAAGCTCAAGGGGTCGGGGTACACCGGAGGACTCAGCCACCAGATTCAACATGGTCGGGGGGGGGGTAGCTGTGTTCTTCGAATTGCCATCTTTCGAACCCCCCCCCGTTTGCTCGAGGGTGTGTGTTTGCGTCGACGTTTGCGCGTGGTTCACTGTGTTTACTCGTCCCTTGCGAAAACGGCAACGCAAGGTGGGGTGGTCCAACGTCATCTCGGGACTGTTCGGCGGCTTCACGGGCAGCTACATCTTCAGTCAGACCATCTTTAACCTGCGGGCTGGTGTGTACATGAGAATATGATCGTACACGGCGAGAGTGTTCGTGTTCAATGCGGCTGTTGCTTGCCCCCTCGCTGGTAGCAGCTGCTCTGACGTTTTTCGCCCTTCAACGAACGCTTCGGATGGGAGCGCGCTGTATCAGGTGTTGGCTAGAGCTGTGTATGCACATGCCGGCTTTCATGGAAAACCTCACGTTGTAACCCAGGCATTATGTTCTCGAGCAGCACACTTCGATCGTTTTTCAGGTTTTGGGGAAAAAAGGGATTTTGTGGGGGGGTGCATTTTTGTGCCAGTACTTTTTTCCCCTTAGCCGGGACATCCCTTTTGAATGGAGGGTTTTTCTTAATTGAAGCCCCCCCCCCCCCCCCGGTGTTTACCATCGGGGTTGGGTTTTCGTCGCTTGGCAACGACGTTGTAAAACAAGCCCCCCGCTCGGTGTTTGCCATCGGGATTGGGTTTTCGTCGCTTGGCAACGACGTTGTAAAACAAGCCAATTCACTTCGTGAACTCGGCAACCAGGTTACCGTTTGTTTTTTTTTCCTCTGGTTTTTTTTTCGGCGGTAACCATAATGGTGGTCGAGTAGATCATGTTGTACGGGGTGGAGAACCCTCACTTCGCGCAACGGGGGATGATCGCACCACGTTGTGTTAAAATAGTCAAGCACCCTCGAGGCAGTTACACAGTGCTTACAACTGTCTCTGGAAGTGAAAGCACCAGAAAATAAATTAAGTCATACGTAGCTGTCATCCGTACGCAAGGAAGTAAGCACAAGATGCCGAATACCCTTAGCAGGATGCAGCTCACCCTTCATGCGACTCGCCAAATACCTCACGGTGCTTCGCGCTTCGTGATGTGAGAGCCTGGTCCGGTGAGAACCCGGCGTGCTCCGTCCCGGCTTTGTAGGGATGCGAGGTCAATGGTCTAATGACTACGGCATGCACGACTATGAGTACACCCCCCCCCCCCCCCCCCCCCCCCC